CCGGGATCTGCTCTGTCTCCCCGTTTCCATCCAGGGCTACAAACACAGGGGGCTTCATTTGATCGGCACCAGAGATGTTCAGGGGGCAGGAAAACCCCCGAGGACATCGAGCATGGAGCTTAGCATGTGACCTCCTAAGAGCGTGTCCTATGTGCCAGGTCACCGGGGGCATTTACCGTATCCACCCACCTGAGGCTTTGGCGGGGGGAAGGGGAGCAGGCAGTTTTTGCTGCTGGGTCCCCAAGAGAAGGGAAGAAAGGAGGTGACGCTCCCTCACTGACGGACACACCCTGAGGATTCCGGGATGTGCTGGGAACATGACAAGACAAAAAACCAAGGTCAGATCCAGTGGAAATGGAATCACGTCCCGGTGCCATGGCACATGCCTCCAGTCCCAGCAGCTGAGGGAGGCCGAGGCAGGAGGATGGCGAATTCAAAGCTAGCCTCAGCAACTTAGGTCCTAAACAACTCAGTGAGTCCCTGTCTCTAAATAAAATATGAAAAAGGACCCCCCTCATTCCAAGCCCCTCTTCCCTCTCCTTGTCCATAAATCTGGAGAGAAATTCAGGAAGAGGCTACCACCCAAGAGCAGCCTCACACGCTGGGGTGTTTCAGCACCGAGGACAGCTGCCACCCGGAGGACAAGGAAGCCCTCAAGCCCAAGGCTTCTGTGTCCTGCAGGTCCCATGCCAGGGAGAGGTCATGAGGGAGGGGCGAGGGATTTGCAAAATGTGCAACCATGTAACACGGGATTCACTCCCCCATTTCCATTTTTTGCAAAAGACGTCGCTGACTTGATCCACATTTCCCGTTTCAACTTTTGCAAACGTCAGGGGATCTGTCTCTGGGCTGTCACCACAAACACCTCAGCCTGGTGCCTGAGATGACAGAATGTATGGCCTCAAAGCCATGGTGGATGGACGTCCAGCATCAAGGTGGCAGAAGGGCCATGCGTGCTCTGAAACATATGCCTCGTCTGCCTTCTGGTGGTTGCCGGGAGTCCTTGGCTTGTAGCTGCACCACTCGGCTCTCTGCCCATCATCAAGTGGCCATCTGGCCATCTTCCCTCTGAGCTGGTCCCCCTCCTTTTTTTTTTAATTTTTATTGTTGGTTGTTCAAAACATTACATAGTTCTTGACATATCATATTTCACACTTTGATTCAAGTGGGTTATGAACTCCCATTTTTACCCTGTATACAGATTGCAGCATCACATCGGTTACACTTCCACTGATTTACCCCCTCCTTTTCTTATGAGAAAACTCGTTTTACTGGATAAAGTTCCCACCATACTCCTCGTTAGACCTACAGTAGCTCTATTTCTAAATAAAGTCACTCTCTGATGTTCCAGGGATCGGGTCTAACCATGTGTTAACCTCTGCACCCTGCACCCGTAAGCGTCAACAACATTAATCATGGAAATGAAAGCGGGTTCCACAGTGAGGAGTCGGGGGGGAGCCCGGGGAGCTGAAGGGCACGCGCCTGTCTAAGGCCACAGTAACATGGGCAGGAAGGAGGGCAACACAGCCCCCCTCGGGGGCGTCTCCCAGGGAAGCTGCAGGTCTGGATTTTTCTGGGAAGCCTGCTGGTTTTAAAAGGCCTGCATGCCTCTCCAATCAGATTAAATGCATTTGTGAGCAGGGTTGAGCCTGTGAGTCACCAGTTTGGAAAATGGAGGCCAGGGGAGATGGGAGAGGGTTTGTTCTCAGGATTAGAAACAGTTCTCTGGGTTGCAGTGGAGTTCAAGGTGAGCAGAGGAGATAAAGAGCAAGCCGGATCCCCCAAGGCCTCTGGGGCTCTCTGGAGTTTCGTTGCTGGAAGGAAAATGGAGGGACACTGATGGGTTTTAAGCCAGGGGGAGGCCACGTGGTCGGGCCCCTGCCACCTCTCCTGGACCCCAGTGGGATCTTTCCAGTTCTCTGGGGACTGGGCTCCACTGTGCACACTTCTGTCCCCAGGGTCCCCCCCCCCATCTAAGGGTCACCTCTCATGTTCCCATCAGATTTGCAAAAGCTCCTGGAGATGGTTCGAGAAGACGCCCGGAGGACCGTCATGATGGAGAACGAGATGCAGAGGAAAGCCCCCAGGTACGTGCTCCCGCCTCCTGGGGCAGGGTCAGCCCAGCAGTCACGACACAGACGGCACAAGCCGCCAGCTCTCGGGCATCCGCTCAGCTCTGAACTTGGTCCGTGGGGCTCGCCTCCCTGAATCCTCACAACCACCCTCCCAGGGAGGTGCCCCTGTCTTTATTTTGCAAATACAGAAACATGCTCAGACAGGCTAAGTGACGTGACGTGTTCCAGGTCACACAGCCAGTGCACCGTCAGGTCACGGCTCAAACACCACCCTGGTCCCTGCTCGTCCTGTTGGGAATCCTGTGGCCTTACGTCCACTCTTCTCATGAATATTTATGAGTATGAAAAGACCAGGAGAAGTGTCCAGGGTATGAGCCACCTGTAACCCCAGCTGCCCTGAGGCAGGAAGGATTGCAAGTTCAAGACCACTCTGGGAAACATAAAGAGGTCCCCGTCTCAAAAGAAAAGATGGAAAGGGCCAGGGGTGTGGCTCGGTGGTGGAGCACGCGTCTGGCCCAGGTGAGGCCCTGGGTTCCATCGTGGGTGCCCTCATCCCAAGGACTCTGACCTTGTTCCAAGAGCAACGGGGACCCTTTGAAGTGTCAAGCGGCTCACACACCAGGCTCCAACCTGAGCTGGTGTCCCTGTCCCTCGGGTGGAAAGCAGCTCCCTGGGACCTCTGACCTCTCAAGTCCTCCGAGAGGAGGCAGGCGGGAGCCAGAGTCCCTGCTCAAATGCAGATCCCTCTGAGGGAGCAGATTACTTCCTGAGAATAAATGAGGCAGGAGAAGAGGTTCATCATCGCCTTCAGCCTGCTGGGATGCCCGCGATGACTTATTGGTTATTGTTATTACCATAATTACAGCTCACCCGGCGCTCGCTTGCACCAGCCCGCCCCGCCTCTGCCGCCAATGATGAATCTGTCTGCTCTGGGGACTCCGGAAGGTGGCCTTAGAGGCACTCAGAGCCCAGCTTGGCCTATAAGGCCCCGCTGCTGCTGTCCCTGATTGGCCAGCAACAGAGACAGACAATAAGAGTGAACAGCAGCTCAGCAAGGCTGCTCTTCCCAAGAGCTCACAGCATGAGCACTGGGCTCGGAGTTAGGCTGATAAGAATCCGAACCCTGGTGGCCCTTACACATGTCACTTAGGCTTTTCCTAAAACTTCCAACTCCTCATCTATAAAATGAGATCATAGAGCATGGGAGCATTGACTTTACAACCGAATATTCTAGGGACACTCTCCCCACCACCATTTCCTTGCTGTGTGATGTTGGGCAAGTTGCTTTACCTCTCAGATCAGATGCCAATTCTGTCAAAGGAAGCTCTTTAGCAACTGATCCCAAAGGGCTGGGGTGAGAATGACATGATATTATTCCTGTAAAGTATTATGAGTGCTATGTAAATAGTGTCTGCTCCCGTGAGTCACTCAAAGCAAAGAGTCAGCTCGTGCATTTTATTTAACGTCTAAGCTTAGACCTGGCAGATAGTAAGCGCTCAATAAACAACAATTGGTAGGGGAGGAGGGATGGATGTTACTTGTATTTCCTACCTCGGGCTCTGTGGAGTCTTTGCTGCACCTTGCTGAGGCAGGTCCCTTAGCTGTCACCAATGCCCCATCTCACCGATGGAGAGGAACAGCCTCAAGTGACTTCCTGAAGATCCACAAGGACAAAATTGCACTCGAGCCTGGTTCTCAGGGGACCCATCACGTGGCCTCTGCATTCAGTTTAATGATGAAATAACCATGGTTACGGGGCGAGCACCTGTTGAAATTCCCCTTCCTCCTTAACTCCTCCGAGGGGAAAACCCCTCCCGCCCGACTCCATACGGACAGCAGAGACTGAGTCTCCAGCACAGAGCCGCTGGGGGGGGGGGGCGGCTAGGAAGCCACCCTTCTCCGGCCCGTCCCTTTGGAATCTCGATTTTTTTTTCTTTCTTGCTTCATGCACCAAATCTGCTCCCATCAAGGTTGACAGAGAATCCTGGGGTTTGGAGGGACCCCAAAAGCCAGCCTTGAGCAGCCTCTGGCTTCAAGGCTGGATTGTCCCCCAGACATGGAAAAAGACAGTGTTTCTTTCAAATTTTCTAACGGTGTTTCCCAAGTATGTCTGGAGAGCAGAGTCATTTTGGGGGAGTTTGTGGGAAAACACAAATGTCTAGACCTCGGTGTCCCAGACTCTCCAAAGGCAGCCTCAGGCATGTCAAGGGGACGCTGTCACAGGATGCTGGGAATGCTACAGGGCAGTGCGTGTGTGCGTGTGTATGCGTATGCATGTGAGAGAGAGAGAGAGAGAGAGAGAGAGAGAGAGAGAGAGAGAGATTTTAGGGGTGTGTGTGTAAATGCAGCCTCTGGGGCCCACCCCCAGGACAGTGGATCCAAGTCTGTAGAAACGTGGCCCAGGGTGTCGGCAGGCTCTGCGGTGATTCCTCTGCAGGTGGCCCTGAAGGTCCCCCCTCTGCAGGGACCCCAGTCCCCCCACGGGTGTCCAAGGAGCCTCCGTGTTCAGGGCCTCACTAAAGACGCTCTTGCTTTGCAGCCTCTTGTCAGTGCTCAGACAGACCAAGAGCGACTCTGCCTTCAGGGAGGGGCAGGCCACCCACAAATCCAGGTAGGAGGGCTGCAGCCCCCAGCAGGGGGGCTCAAGGCGCCTGGGTTACAGGAGCCACGGCAGAGCTGCCCCTCTGCCAGGCCAAGGGGTGGTGAGGGGCCCAGGTTCCTTCTGGTGACCTCACTGGGAGCGAGCCCCTCCATTGGGGTGTGTATCTGGGTGGTTCTCCCCAGCAACTGCATCCCGTCAAGTTAAAAGCTTCAGCTGAAATCAGGAAGGTGCGGGGCAGGACGACCCCACGGCTCTTTTTAAAAACATTTTTTAAATATACGACAGTGGAATGCATTACAATTCTTATTACCCATGATTTTTCACATCTCTGGTTGTATACAAAGTATATTCACATCCATTCGTGTCTTCATACCTGTACTTTGGATAATGATGTCCATCTCATTCCACCATCATTTCTAACCCCCTTCCCCCCTCCCTTCCCTCCCACCCCTCTGCCCTATCTAGAGTTTGTCTATTCCTCCCATGCTCCCCCTCCCCACCCCACTATGCATCACCCTCCTGATATCAGAGAAAACATTCAGCATTTGGTTTTTTGGGATTGGCTAATTTAGCATTATCTTCTCCAACTCCACCCATTTACCTGCAAATGCCATGATTTTATTCTCTTTTATTGCTGAGTAATATTCCATTGTGTATATGTAACACATTTTTTAATCCATTCATCTATTGAAGGGCATCTAGGTTGGCTCCACAGTTTGGCTATTGTGAATTGTGCTGCAATAAATATTGGTATGGATGTGTCCCTGAAGTGTGCTGATTTTCAGTCCTTTGGGTATAGACCCAGGAGAGGGATAGCTGGGTCAAATGGTGGTTCCATTCCCAGATTTCCAAGGAATCTCCATACTGCTTTCCAGATTGGCTGCACCATTTTGCAGTCCCACCAGAAATGTATGAGTGTGCCTTTTCCCCCACATCCTCGCCAACACTTATTGTAGTTTGTCTTCATAATAGTTGCCATTCTGACTGGAGTGAGATGAAATCTTAGTTTTGATTTTCATTTCTCCAATTGCTAGCAATGATGAACATTTTTTCATATATTTGTTGATTGATTGTATATCGTCTTCTGAGAAGTGTCTATTCAGGTCCTCGGCCCATTTATTGGTTGCCTACCCCTCTTTTTTAAAGATAAATTTTGTAGCCGGGTGCAGCACCACACACCTGCCATCCCAGCAGCTAGGGAGGCTGAGGCAGGAGGATCACGAGTTCAAAGCCAGCCTCAGCAACTTAGGGAAGCGCTAAACAATTCAGAGAGACCCTGTCTCTAAATAAAACACAAAATAGGTCTGGGGACGGGGCTCAGTGGTCAAGTCCCTGGTACCCCCCGACAAAGGTAAATTTTGTTCTGCATGTTTGAGGTTTCCAACCTGATGTGATGAGACACCTATAGATGGATCTGGAGGACGTCACACTAAGTGAGACACCCTCGCCTCTTTACTGACTCATGGGGTGTGGAGGTCTTTCCAGCTCATGTATTCCTTTAGAAACTATTCTAAGATCATCTCCATGTGCCAGGAACCGAGTAGGTATTGGAGCTTCAGTAGCAAATGAAACAAATATTCTCTGTCCTCCTAGATCTTACTGTGTGGACATTTTGGGGGCCATGGATCCTTGATAGTCTGAGGAAGCCTACACATTCCTTTCCAGACCATGTCTAGGATGCAGATTTATAAACCCATATTATAAATTACAAAGAATCACTGAGATTTCTGTAGTAACATAGATTACTATATTGCAACCCAAGTTGGCATATAGTAATCTCTGAGCTTCTTTAGCAACGCATTTTATAATAAGATGGAACAGCAGGTCTAATAACCACTGTGATTTTGGGTTCTTTTTGAGTGTAAATGATTCTTCAAAATATTTCCCACAATTATAATGCGATATACAAACGCCTGTGGTTTCCATTTCAGTTCAAGGCTAGTTAAAAAATACACATGAAGTTTTATTTCCCCCCACCTGCATTCATGGGCCCCTTAAATTCCGTTCAGGCTTAACAATTGTAGTTTAATAGGGGTGTTGAGCATGTCTCAAATAACCCCATAGTTAGCTATAAATCATGACTCAAATTGTTGCCAAGGAAAAGCAGACAGGATGGGGAAGGGCCCAACCAAGACTGAGCTTAACGTTTCAGCAGAGACCTGAAGAACAGAGAACTGGCTCCTCTTCGAGGTGGGAGTTGGGGATGGTGTTCTAGCAAGGGCATAGCATGTGCAAAGGGCCAGAGGCAGAAGGACCTCAAAGGCATTGTGCAAAGATCAGAGTGGCTGAGACTCAAGGAGGAGACAGACATGGACACACAAGACTTTATTGTTTCCCTCTGTTTATCACCAACTAGCTACACCACTGATCTCACCTCCCTCCTCTCTGAGTCATTGTCAATGCTCTGGAAAGAGAGCCATCTACGGGAAGAAGGTTAGGGCCAACATAGTTCTCCAAGGGACCTATCTGCAGGTGCGGGGGCAGTGGAATCCAGCTCACAGGCCTCTGGATATTGTTAGGGAAGCCCTACTTCCCGTCCAGGTGGGGTAAGGGTTTGTCCGCTGACGGCCAGGCCCCAGACCTCTAGATCCCGCCCCATGGACTCCTGGAAAAATCAGTAAAGACCAGGACCTTTGCTATGGGGAGGGATCTGAGAGCCAGCCAGGTCTGCTGGCCTGAAGAAGTTCCAATGCAAGGTCAGAAAGAAAATCAGACACTCCTAATGCCTAGAAGCACACAGATAGAGTGGTCGAGGCAGCTGGCCGAGTTTATGGAAAAAAATGAAGGGGAGTAAAGAAGGCACTAGACCTCGGCGCTCAGGCCTGAGCAGGGCCCGGCTCCCCTCTAGGGAACCTGCCCAAGTGGGTCAGGGTGGTCAGCTGCAGGGGGGTGCCGTCGGGGCTCACATAGGCAGGCCAGGCTGTGCCAGCGTGTGGACTGACCACGGGTGAGGACACAGAGGGGCTGGGCTCTGAACTCAGCCCTGTCTGCCTCCGAAGCAGAGTCACCCTGGCACCGTGCAGAAGCCGAGGGCAAGGTTGGACCCAGAGTCCAGGCATGCAGGCCTTGCTCTGGAACCTAAACCAGGGAGGACTGGGCAGGTGGGCAAGGAGCCCCGGGGCGTCCAGGGCAGGGGGTGGGGCAGGAGCGAAGGCCTGGAGTTCTGGAGCCTCCACCACCCCCTGGCCTGGATCCTGGGGGCTGGCAGGAGCCAGGCGAACCCCCTCCTTGTGACAAGCAGACTCGGGGCAACTGGAAACCATGCCTTGGTGTTTCAGTGAGAGATCGAGCTCCACCAGCGGGGAAAGCCACACCCAGATAATCCAGAAGAAGGTGAAAGGGTGAGTCAGGGGGCAGGGGGCAGACGGACTACGGTGGCCACTCCCTCTGCCTCCCTCGGCAGCACCGAAGGACCAGGGGATCCCCCAGGACAAAGGGCTCCTAGGGAGGCTGAGCCTGAATCCCACAGCTTTTCAAGTCCCTTAACATTGTCTGGGAGCTAGGTGACCAGTTGTCTCAGTTTCAGGCTCATTTAACAAGTCCCCAAACACCAGCTCCATGCTGTTGAGGAGGGAGGCCCTGGGTGAAGGCGGAAGGCCAGGTGGGCGCAGGGAATCCCCAGTCCAGACACCTGGGGAGGCAGGGAGGGGACAGCAGGAGCCCTGGGCCCCATCCGCCAA